GTTCACAACTATGTCATCGACTGTAAAAAAGATGATCTAGCTAGTGTAATTTTAGATTGTTAGCGGACTTGTGCTTGTTTAATTTTGTAGGCCTCTTAAGGCCTGTTAATCTTGCCAGTACAAACTGTTTCTTTGGGAAACTCATCAAAAGAGACCATTACTCAGTGAAAGATAGTTGTTTACTACTTTCACCAATGATTGATTTCATATCCTTTATCATATAAGGGGAAAATTTACTGAATTGTGATTGGTCAAGACAGAAGGCATTTTTTCTTAATTTTTGTTATTGCCCCGGGCAAAATTATTTGAAATTGATTGGCTGAAAATCGCTTAACAATGGCTGCCAAGGTAAAGAAATTTCTGTTTGTTTTGTAACAATGGCGTCCCGTTTTGCACGAGATCGGTAAGAAAACATTTTTTCCCTTATATTATAAACAAGTAATCACATGGTTCCTCGTAAAATAAAGGATTAATATCACTTGTGTTTTCGGAAGTTGCCGAAATTGCAGCGACTCAGGCAATTTCAGACTCTTCTGAAAACATGCGTGATATTAATCCTTAATTTTACTCGGCCCCATGTGATTACCTATACTTATGTTAGTCTGTTTATGAAAATGGTTTGCTCCACCTTCAAAAGAAAATAAAAATACTTTGATGAATGAAAAGAAATATGTTGCGTCTTTTAAAGGTATTTTACACCTGAACAATCTGATCATATCCGTATGTGTCTAAGTATTGCCTTATTGTCTCCCTAAGTTGTTTTCCGCCTTCACTTGTTATTGGCAAGTCCTCGCTGTCTTCCACATCAAAGTCCACATCATTGTGAATGAAAACAGGTTCAATGGTTGCATCATCTTCCATTTCCAAGCACAGATTGTGTAGAACACAGCATGCAATAACAGTGGTAGGCACCCTTAAGGTGTCCTCCTTCATTGTCTCTAACAGACACCTCCAGCGACCCCTGAGCAATCCAAATGCTTGCACAATTTTTTCCCTTGCTGAACACTTTCTTTTGTGACCACGTCAGTTTACAGGGAAGAACGTAGAAACATGGATAAATCTGATAGCAGCCCTTTATCAAAGCTCGAACATTTCAGGTAAGACCAGTTCTAAATCAGTTTATATTACACTTAAACTGAGAATATTGCATTTTGTGTTGGATAAGCGATGAACTTTTCGACTAAACTTGTGAATGGCCTTAAACCAGCGTGAAAGCGTAGGTCCACATGGGATATCAATCGATGTGAACGTGTCTAGTGGGGTCTTCTGGTCAGGTTCAAAGAATATATTCTAGTTTAGCTCATGAGGTGCGCTGAAACTATTTCACGAAAATATGGGTTGAATGAGGAGTCCACTTGGTGTTTTCCTGTCTCCATTAGGACGAACACGGGCAAACATGCAGTATTACCTAAGAGATATATCGAGGATGAGCTGCGCGATTGTTGTGAAGCGCAGATATATACTTCGCCTTTGCGACTGAGATGAACGAGGAAATTCTCAGCCCATAATTGATTATGTCAAGACATCTTGTTCACACAGCAAAGGGAATGAAGGATGCAAATGTTTCAAATGCAGCAAGCCGCGTTGTCGTAAATTGTACTCTCAAATAACGTTTTCGTTTGAAATTTGATTCGCGACGAAGGATTATGATTGCAGGGTGATAAATGTAGGACACAGTGAGCAGAGAAAGAACATTTTCGAACAAGAATCGTCTAATCAAGTTAGTGATTATACAATTAGCTCCTGCTTCATTTTGGTTTTCCCTCAAAAATCAACATTTTGACTTCTCACAATACCAATAACTGTGAGTATAACAATTACAATATTTTTTTTTTCTCGGATAGCTGCTTTCTCGGATAGTTTTGTGAAACGAATCCAATCAAGTGCAACTTGTATTCAGCGGATACCCACGGAACTGCCCTTGCTAGTGATTGCTTTATGCAGGGTGTCCTCATGATATTAATAACACGCTCAACTTTCCAATGTGTCGCGCGAGATTGCAGGGCCAAGCATGCATGAATATTCAAATATGGCTCGACTTTTCTTGACATTTTTCCCTCTCACTAGTTCATTCTGGCGGTTTGTAAGGGAAATTAGACTGCACTGTATTTCCTCGAATAAGCACCTGGGCGCTTATTCAGAATTTCGGCTGAGAGGAGGGGCACTTTATCGAGGGGGGTGGGGGGGGGTTAGAGCTAAAAAAGTTAAAAATGAAGTGGTAGTGGAAACAGGGTTTTCCTTGTATCCCTACTATTTAAGAAATTGAGGGAGAAGGGGAGGGGGCAGGGCTTATTTTGTAGGGGCACTTGTTGAATAGTTTGGCCCGATTAAAGCTTTTCCTATTTTTTGTTTTTTCAAGACAGAACAAGAAACTCCGAACTCATCGAAAAGCGCTCCTTTTTTTAACTCTTTGCTTTTATCCCGGCTTCACATTTTTGAAACAAAACCGTGTGAGTGTAGGGCCGGCCTTACACACGTCAACTTTCGCTATTGTTTTCTGTGGGATTAAGCGCGCGGGGCCATACCGGTCATATGGTAATAATAATTATTAAAATCTGGATCATTGGATAATGTAATTCACTACTTTTTATTGGCTTAGCCATTATAGTATATGAGCCAATAT